CGCTGCTAATTTGATCCCCTGGTACCAATGTCAAACCACTTCCCTTTTCCCCCACGTGGCTTAACTCCACTGACTTCATAGCCCGTGCACTCCAAATTCAGTGCCACACATTTACGTCCCACTCAGCACACGGCAAAGCTCATTCTGCCAACGCGGTATCGGTGTCAAAACAGCCCCAAAACGGAAATGCAAGGGCAGGGACTTGTTCTAATGACTTTTCAGTGAGAAGTGTCAAATGATGCAAAATCCATCACCCAGGAAATTGCAGGGGTTTCTTCCTGACTTCTTGGAGAAAAACAAGGTTTGGTTCAGTTGCCACTAAAGCTTAGGGAAGTTCACTGCCACCTTGGTATGAAAAGCAGCATCGTGGTTCAGGAGGCAGAGCCCAACGGTCCTGGTAAAGGAGTGTTTCTACAAACTGCTGTGTTTTTTAAGCTGGCACCCAAACTTCACAGAAACCTGTGTGCAGGTACCTCTGTTCTTAATGGAAGGAGGAACAGGCAGACTATGGGGCCACTTGGCCAAGCATTTCATCTTCATCAGTAGCTCATTTACTTCAGAATTAGATGCAGAAAACTAGAGGGGGCAAGGAACAACCTGTGCATAAGAAATGCACCTCTGTAATCTCCTGTCAGTTATTGATTTGCTTTCGCTTAGAACAAAATGGCTTCTATCTTAGTTCTATGTATGTGCTAATTTATTTCTGAAATTTATTGGTAGCTAGCTAAAGTGCCCATTTCTTGGGGATTAGAATAGTTCACTAATAGAATATTAGAATTAATTGTGTCATCACTTACATTGAGGCTGAACTGAAGTGTGTTTTACTTGGATTAGCATGTGTTAAGGAATTCTAGTCATTTAGCTCAAGTGAGCATTACATGGAACGAATCACTTTGCGTGACTGGGTACAGTAGTTAACGCAACTCGCTTAGCATGAGTAGCTAGAGTTACCGAAGCCTTAGGCCACAAGTGGTCAACTTATGCTGAACGTGTACTTCATATATGAAGGGAGGCCTCAAGACAGCTACATCCTGGGAAAAATACGGCATCCTCATTGTCAGCAGAAACTGCATCCTCTGGAAAAATAAGGTGTTCATATTCTCAACAGCAGCTGCATCCTCAAGGTAAGAAAAGCTGGAGGCAGAAAAAGCATCCAATGAAGAACAAAAGAACCCCAGACCCAAATATTGTTATTGGACTGAACCATTGTGTGAGGGGAACTTAGATTGTAAGAGTATAAATACCCAGGGATTCTTTGTTCGGGGTCCCTCTCAGAGGGTCCCAGCTTGAGCTGAAATGACCCGACCCTCAGGCCTGAGCTGTCCTAAGGCTGGAGCCAGCCCCACCTCGACAACGCTCTGAGAGGCAGTTTAGAAAGCAAGGGGCTCCCTCGCGACCCAGCGGAGGGTCTTCCCGGACTCCTCTGTAACACTGTTAAATACTGGTAAACACTCAATGCGGTTAAGTGGTTCCACAGGTGAACTGCGCTGCGTGCTCAGGCCTTTCTCTCTCCCATCCATTTTCAGGCACTGCATTTCTGTGTCAGGAGGCGGCCCTCCGCTGCAGCGTGCCGTCCTGAAGTCAGCCCTGCTCTGAGCAGGAGGCCAGGCTTGGTGACACCCAGAAGTCCTTTCCAATCTAAGTTTTTCCGTGACTGTACGAAGGCTGTAACAGCAACTGCCAATACATCTGTATCGAATCTCCTTCTATTTTGCAAAGCTTTGTCTTAATCCTTGCTTTATAAAACTTAAAAAGTTATGGATGGCTCCTTCCTCTGAGAGGGTAACCACTCTGTTAGAAGAAATAAAAGCCCCCAACGCTTCCAGACTCTATGCAATCAGGCAATCACAGAGAGGTAAAACAAAAAGTGCCCCAAAACCTCCAATGAGAAGAAAAACTAACATTTCATGTTACATCTGGGTCAGTGTTTCGAAGCTGCTCTAACTGCCGGGTCATCCCTCACAGCAACTGTTCTCCATTTGCAGTGTTTTTCATCAGCAGCCTGCATTCAATATCACGTCTTCAGCTTGGCAAGTATCCGGCACTGCTCAAAAAAATCATGTGTGCTTGGCAGGAACCCCAGCGCCCTTGATCTGTTCTGTCTGGATAGATGGTGTTGTGGTTTAACCTGGCAGGCAGCTGAACACCACACAGCCCTTTGCTCACTCTCCCCCCTCCCCGCCCCACTGGGATGGGAGAGAGAACTGGAAAAAGGAAAAAAAAAATCATGGGTTGAGATACAGACAGTTTAATCGGACAGAAAAGGAAGGGATAATTATGATATTAACAATGATAAAAGAATTAGACTATACAAAACTAGTGATGCACAATGCAACTGCTCACCGCTTGCCGACCGATGCCCAGCCAGCTCCGGAGCAGCAGCCCCCGGCCAGCCTTCCCCCACTTCATATGCTGAGCATGACGTCATGTGGTGTGGAATATCCCTTTGGCCAGTTTGGGTCAGCTGTCCCAGCTGTGTCACCTCTCAGCTTCTTGTGCCCCCCAGCCTCCTCGCCAGCAGGGCAGCCTAAGAAGCTGAAGAGTCCTTCACCGCTGGTTAGCAACCCCACAAACATCACGTGCTATCGTCATTATTCTCATCCTGCCTCCAAAACACAGCGCTGTACCAGCTACTGGGAAGCCCGACCAAATCCCGCTCAAGCCTGTCTGACACTTGATACCAAAGCCACCCCCCCCAGCAACTCCCTCTCTAACCCTTGGCTGTGCCCAGAGTAAGACTGCTGCGTGCTGTGGTTAACCCTTTGCTGGGAACTAGTGGACTCGCTGTTTTAGCTGGTCTCTTCTTTGGCAGGAGGAGCTCTCAGCTGTACACGCTGCAGCACAAACCGGTCATGGCCACAGTCCCGGAGCAGCTCGCTGAACTGCTGTCAGGTGCCACCTCTCCTCAAGCGCTCGGGAGAGGCTGTGTTTTGCCATTTTTTTGCCACAAACGGGCTGTGGGACTCTTCAAACTTGCCGCAGACTAAGAACCTGCTCTCGCTGGTAACAACTAAAAGTGCCCCTCTGCCTCAGGTAAGCAAGGCTGAGCTCAGGACCAAGACCAGCAAACGTTCTGACCTCAGACAAAGACTGAACCCCAACCCTGGGGAAAATCTGGCGAGAAAGAAGGGATTATTCTTGTAAACCAGTGATGTGCTCGTTACAGAGGCCTGGGCAACGGCACCCAATACAACAGAGATTTACATACACTGACTCACAAGCTCTTTGTACTTACAAACCAACACGCACATTGCACGCGCCCTGTGACACAGCAAGCGATGGGACAACCCAGCGTACGTGCTGAACGCCTCGTACGTCGTGCTGTCAGCACAACGCCGTCCTCTGCCAGGTGCTGCCAGGCCTTCTGCCAGAGGCAAGGAAGAACACATGGAATGACTGCCTAAGGTGTAACCCTGGGCTAAAAGGAAAGGGCTGAAAGTAATGAAGATGCATATGTCACACTGGAAAATGAGGATCAGGCCAGGCATCATGGAAGTATTTTTCATTATTGCCAGGCCATTTAGTATTAGGCAACACCTCTTTCACTTTTTTTGCGCTTTCTTTTGTTTTTACAATTGTGCTATTGGAAACATGCATAGAATGAAAAATACTGTGGCAAACCTGAGAAGAGCCCAATTCTTCTCTGCCCATATTTCACTGCAACAGGGCAACTCAGAGGCCACAGGAGGTGCACACCTGACGTGGGGGAAGTAGGCAGTCCAAACGAGGCACGCAAGGACAGGCCTTCACCTGTTGCCAACACGTCACCCACAGTCCGTGTCACAGCAGCGATACAGGCTGGCTCAGAGCTCTGCCCCTCTCACGCCTGACTGGATGCAGACTCCATCCGGAAAGGGAAGTGGAAATGCTTCCTTTAAGTATAAAACTACCTTCTGGTGTCTGAATATCTGACACCTACTAGAAACAATACCTAAAACATATAAAAATTATGTTACTATAACGGTCTCTCTCTAGCTTGCTTGCTTTGGGCACTTTACAGCTCCCTGTATGCCATGAAGAGACACAGGAGATATGGCTAACTGAAAGAAACCTTCAGCAGAGGGCAAGAAAATCCTCATATATTTATGAAGAAATAAAACTCTCCTGTCTTAAATATCCAAAGAATCTTGATCAGTAAACTCTTTGAAATTAGCTGGTTTTCTTTTAAAAACAAAACAAAAAACCCCCCAAGAAATTCAAGTTGATGAGAGTCTCTGGATATCAAAACTGTGCAGCTTTCTCTCTCCTCTGTGCTCCTGTCAAGCACTGGCACACCAAAGAGAAAGCAGCGCAAGGGGGCTGCTGCATGGTCCACAGTGACCATACAGGCTTTGGACGCCATGGAGAAACATTTCCACCTGTCCAATGGCACATGGCTCCAGCCTGCTCTGTCTCCTTGGAGCTAGAAGATCATGGCTGATGGTGGTGAGAGCATAAAGCCCTGCAAAGGAGCACTGTCTCAGGACGTTGTTCAGCTACACCGAATGCCACCGGCATCAGAACCTAAACACTTCTGAAACTTCTCCCTTATTTTTCACCCACTTCTCCTGAAGCACAGGGGAGTTTTGGGCGGCTGCACAGCAGAGGGAGACAACAAACCCGCTTTTTGTCTGCCTAAGAACACTGTGCGTTTGTTCCCCTGTGTATTAAAGTACAAAGAAACCAGCATGTGGCTCAGAGACTCAGACTTACACAGCTGCCAGGTAACTACGGGTCCTGCGTAATCCAAGTAGGTATGAAACAACCGTGCAACACCTCCAGCCTTAGGTGAAAGCCCAGAGCCTCGTCTATGTGGACAAAGTGATGTGCAGAGCTGCTGGGACTACAAACCCAAAGAAATAGCTGCCTCAATGCCGACTGGAATAAATAAACACAGCAAACCGCTATCAGCCGTAAGCAACAACGGGGCACTGCACACCGAGGGAGCAGTGACATCTTCTATAACACTGGGAACAGAAGAGATGGACAAGACACTGAGTCAACCTATAAACAGATGGACATGTTCTCCTGTAGCACGCTGTGTCCAGATCACGGCAGGAAAAGATAGCTGTGGCAGGTCTTCACGCCCACCTCCCGCTGGAAGCAAAACTGCGGCTGAAGGAGAAGTTGATCTCACCATTTTTGTACTTTCCCCACGCTCCAAACGGCACTATGACAACCGTGCTGTTGTCTTCAGTGCCAAATTGCATTGCCTGAGAGAAGAAACAAATTATCAGCATCAGCATCTTGCTTGGGAAACAAGCGCCTGGCTCCAGGTGGGACAGCACACCCTGAGGCCCAAGAATTCCTTGCCCCTTCCCAGCCCTGATGCTGCATTCTGGTGTGCCCCACAGCTTGCCATAGGACATGCCACCATCCAGAACCCCAGTGAGAAACCAGCCGTTTCGGTCTATGATGACGACATATTCGGCACAGGAATAAACTGCAGTTACGGTCCCACGCAGTTCAGTGGATCGTGAGCTGAGAGAGCTAATTAAAGTGATGCCTGCCAAGGATGCAGCAAGACCCAGGCTGAGGAAAAGGCCAGCTGGCAGGGCTAGTGAACGTGCCTAGTTCAATTCACCCGAATTTGTGGTTGTATACTTGTTTTTTCAAAACCGAACCAAACAAAAAACAACGACAAGCATTTGGTGCCAAGAGAAGCCCTGGCATTACCTGCTCAGTAACAACGTGGGCAGCTTCAGCAGGACTGGTTAATGAAGTCACAGATCTCCTGACTGTTCACCATGAAGTTAATACCGTCTGTAGTAAGGACGAGGAAGCTGTCATCTGCATGATGCAACTGCAACAAAGGCACACAGTATGCACAACGATGGAGCGAGCGCTGCAAGGCAAATGAACTGCCTGCATTTTTTTTTACACTCTGTCGCAAAGCACTTTTTCTGGGTGCTGCGTGCCCTCCTGCCTGCTGTGTAAGGACCACCTGGAACCCCCAACCCTCGACTAGCCAAAGGCTGCCCCTTGAATCCTCAAGCACATCCATCAGCCACACAGACTGTGTTCCCTGGACTGGAGGAGTGTCTTAAGGTGCTTCCAGTTCTAGGAAGCAGCCCTCTGAATACACCGAGGCCAAAAGACCACATCCATACATCACCCAGTAGACAAAATGCTTCCTTCAACTGAGGAGTTCAGGGAAGACATGACAGCACTGCGCTCATCTCCCCAAACCCCTCAGGCCCAGTGGGTGGCATTTAATTAGGGCTGACTGAATCTAAGTTCCCTGGGCGGCGCACTGGGGAAAAAGTCACAAGCAGAATAGGAGCTGAGAGGAGAGCCTTCCTGCAAAAGCAAAGCCAACTGTGCCGAATACCTGCTGGGTGGTTAATTTGTTTTCCAGACAACTACAGAGCTACAGTAAGATGCATGCGACTGCCCTTTCCTCCCCCTCTTCCTCCCAAGTGAGCAAACCTCTACATATTCCACTTTTTTTTCCAACGACAGCCCATCCATAACCCACCCAGTTCTCAGTGATGGTTTCGTATCAGCGTTAACATCCCTCATCTGACCACAAGCCCCGAACGGACTAACACCTTTGTATTTCAGTACTGGATATCACGTGTATCTTTCTTCCCTCATCCTATATTGCACTGTGATAAATGGGATTTAGAAGTTGATCTGGTTGAATTTCGTATCGGGGCCAGATTCTTTTCTCTCCTATTAATGTTAATCTGAAATGACTTAATTAGAATTGGTCTCCGGTTACTTCACCACAAATAGAAGACAACGCTTGGCCATCAGGCTTCACTTGGGCACATGCCATGTAGGTACCACCACCTCCATCAAACACCTATGATGCCCCTTAGTCCGAACGTTGCTGTCCCCGTTAACCAGGCCCTCTTTTACCTGAACCCGTTTTGTTTCTGGCTGGGCTATCACACCACTGTTTTTAAGATCCAAATCTCCTATGCTCCGTGTCATTGCAAGTCTACCATTCACATGAGGTTGTCCCAAACTGTTCCAGGCAACGAAGCCACCGCACTTCCTAATCCTGTCCAGAGGCACAAAAGAAAAAGCGAGTATGAGTTACTGCTTCACACCATCACCCCTGTCTCTATCTGCAACTTCTGTCACTAGCTACTGATGCGGAATGGGGTATGGAGGCCCTAAGCTGGGAGGCTGAGGGTTGGACTTTGCTGTTTGAAGGTCTCCACGGAAGGGATGTGGTTTGGTGGGCTGAGCCCTGACCTGGGAACCATAATGCATTTCCTCAGGTGTTGGCTCTAACTTGGCAGTCTTGGACAAGCCTGAACATGCGGTCACGGCTCTGTACCGAGTCCTAGCTACACTGATCTTACTGGCAAGACAGTTTACGCTCACGCAGGGCTTTCCACATCCCTTGTCCTCTAAATGGAACCACTTTAATTAACTGGAGCTGGGTTGCTTTCTGCCAGCTTGGAGGCGGTCTTGGGGCATTATGTTCAACTCTGCTTTCTCCCAGGCCCAACCCAGCAGCAGAACACAAGCACATCCTGACCAAGGCCGTGCCCTGGGAAGCCACATCATCAGCCAACAGGTACCTTTCCTTCTCCTCCTTTCTTTCTGGAGTATGGTCAATGGTGAGTTTCATGGCCTTTCCCTTTCGACACAGTAGAGCACGACTGTCTCCCACACTTGCCACAACCAGCTCAATACCGTCCCGGAGCAGAGCCACTGTTGCAGTGGTCCCAGAGTTCATCAGAGTTGCTATAAACATCACACCAAAGACAGAGGTTTTAGCACTGCCTCAAAGCACGGAACCATTTATAACAGCAACAGTTTCAATTGGTAAAACAAAGACAACTTGTGCTCTACATTACCAGCAAATAACTGCTTTTAAGTTTAAACTAGATCTACGTATTAAAACAAAATACAGCAAACATGCATGCATGGAGGACTTGGGAGAAAGAGAGGAAGTGGGAAAAGGTAAGTATTTCTGTGCAACAACATGGCTCCATGCAAAGAGGGCAAGTGGAATAAAAGTGGTACAAGGTACAGTGGCCTCTTTTCAGCTTGTAGCAAATAGTTCATCTGTCCCACTAGCTTACCTCAGGTTACATGGTTATCATCCTTATCCCTGGGCACAGCGACTGCAGGGGTAGACCACCATAAAGCTGATGGTTCTTCCCTTCTGTTAGGTGAAGTGGGCAACTGAGTAACAGTAGTTGAAGCTCCACATAGTTCACCAGAAGAGAAAGACAAGATCACTCCTTTACACCAGTCTGTGGCATCCTCCCATTGGTGTTAAGAGTTGTAACAATCTCCCTCTGCTTCCCCCAGCCTCGTCAAGAGACAAAAGGTTCACCCAGAAGGCTGCTGGCTTTTTTCAGAAAGGGACGCTGCTCCCTTTAGACCCTGTCAACTTGCTGGAGGTCCCAGCGCAAAGGTGAAGCTGGATTCTGCCTTGCCTTGTGCCTGCAAACCGATGCAGTCAGCTGGCAGTGGCTTTCTGGGCAATCTGCCCTGGGCACTGGTAGGATCACTTGACAGGGGTGTACTGTGACTGCCTAGAGGGCACACCAGAGCCCAAGGTGCCATCTTCCTTCTTACAGGGTCAGGGAGTGAGCTGAGCTGACTGACTGTGTTCAGGGACCTGCTTGGATTAACTGGTGAAGGTAAATTTAAGGTCCTCGCATTTCAATTTCTACAACACTGGAAAAAAACCAGAAATGCTTGAAAAGGAGAAATGTGAGTCTGCCTATTTCAGAAAAGATCTGTAGTTTTTATCTGCAGTGAAGTAAATGCCAGAAGAACTGTCCAGCTCTCCTTTTCTATTTGCTTTTTGAAAGGAGCATTTTACAGTTGGTATCTTCCCTTCCTGCAAATTATGCAAAGGTAACCCAGTGAGAGGTGCCTGGAAAGCAGTAACTTCTGCCGACTTCAGCTATTACAGTAAAACGTCCGGCCAGCACAAGCTATTGCCTGGAATGCATTTGCATTCACAGCCAATGCAAATCCCCTTGAAAGGCCCTCTGAAGGGCTGATGCATTCTGGGATTCTCCTTTTTTTTCCAGGTCTTAAAAGCAAGCCAGTTTGAGAGGGGGTCTGGGCTAACTTAGGAGTGAGAATCCCCAGTTTTATTCCTGTTTTCATATGACTACCAGTTAAAACATCTTTCCACCACCGCTTCTGCAGAGCTCAGCTACAGCTACACGCCCTCCTACCCCTGGCCCTGCAGCCCTGACCCCGGGGAGGCAGGATGGATCTGAGACAGGACTGCGCATTTGAGCCTGAGGAATGCCAGCCAGCCCCAACTCTGACCGGCTGCCAGCAAACGGCACACACGCCACACGACCCGCTGCAGAAAAGCGAGTGCTCTGGGATCTTGGCGACCTCTTTCCCCAACCCTGTGAGGTCTCAGCACGCCGTAAGTAAAACAGGGTTGGGAGTAAACTGAAGTGCCCAAAGCCCTGAAAGATGCATTGAGCCTTGTTGTGCAGCAAAAGCAGTGAGCTGATGAATCAAAAAAACCTCACAAAACAGTCTAAACTAAGCTTGTGTTATTATTTAAAACAGGTATTATTACTGCAGTGAGGACTTGGTTTAGCTATACACTTAACCAACATGTCAATCGTGAGCATCAACCATGGTGACCTCAGTGAAATCTTGGACTACATTATGGCTGCCATGCAGGCTACAATATTCAAAACTATTTAGATGCCAGTAGCTTCTGACTGTTCAGGTAAGCACTGACATCCTGTTTCTAATTTGAAGCAAGGACTAGTCCAGTGCAGGCTCACTTTGAGGCACATTAAGTAAGTAAGATGCTAACAAGTACCAGTGTGATTAGAAATTTTAGTAGGACCAGTAAAATACCTGTTTTAGCCAACAGTTAAAAGAAGTGAAATGAAGAACCTACGTAAAACTACCTTTTTATTACACAGAAAATACATTTTATTTAGACATTAAAATTAATGCAGAACAACTGCTGCTCTCCCATTTCATTCCTTGGTTTTGGAGCTATGCCGACAAACATAAGCAGTTTCTGAAAAAGTTAAGATCTGTAGTCTTTAATTCATACATGACTGGAAACATTTGGACATTCAGGTGAAGCTGCATCTTTCAAGTGCAAACTCTCAAAGGAAAGAGCCGCCATCACAAAATCAAGGGATGGTACTAAAGAACAAGTCAAGATCTTGTCCAGAATTGTGGTAAAGGTAATAGTGACATGAGCTTTATATACATTTATTAATTAAATAGCACTCCCAGAAAAAGAAATGCTGCTCACACTCCCTTGCTTGGAACCAGTTCATGATGTGGGTAGGGGTGCAAGAACACGGATGTAGCTAGGCTACAAGCATTATGTGATTTCTAGCACAGCTCGAAAACACAGGAATGACGACAGGATAACATTTCTAATGTTTTACTACAACTGCTGCTAGGTTATTTAATAATATCAAAGTATGTTGCATGAGCACATATAGTGGTTTTAACAATTAAAGAGTTTATTTTGTTTTCCTAACAACATCACTATAAAACTAAGATCTTTCAATAGGTTCTTAACACTCACTGGACAACTTTTACTGCAAGTCATCTCAACTAATGTGACAAAGAGGATGTGGGAACCTTCCAGTAGTCCAGGCTAGGAACCGCCGGACTCCTTCACCTGGGACAAAATTAAGCAGATCTCTCTTTCCACTGAAGCCCAGCATATAGTGTCCAGGGCCTCCAGTTCTAGAGCTGCTGACCAGGTACAGTGTCTGCCACAAATAACACGCACACAGAGGCAAATAGGAAATTCACCCAGGGACTTTGTTCAAACAAAATAAACCTGCAACACTGGCGATGAAAGAGTAAGGGCTGCAGAACTGGGGTCTCTTGGGTGGGTTTGCCTGTACTGTTTTTGCAGTATAGGAAGTACCTGAGGCTTACACGTGCATCTTTGACCACAGATAAATCAGCCTCGGTATTGCTGGGGAATTGCCACTGTTCTTGCCTTCTTGCTAAAACTGGGACAAACCCACATTAAATTCAGCCAAAATAAAAGCTACTTTTTTTTTTTTTTTCCCCCTGTGGAGGCAAGTGACCAACCAACAAATCAACCAAAGAATTTTATCAATGCTAGAGGACCAGCTGTCTCATACATGGCAAGAGTGGTCACTCTAAAGAACATCTACAGTACAGAATATGGCCCACAGTAATTTATTTATTTTTACATATAATGCAAAAACGGGGAGTTCAAACCAGTGCCAACTAAAATGTGGCCATCTTAAAGGCACTGAATAGAAGTATATGAATTGTTCCGATCCATGGGAAAATACACAAAATAAACACCCCTTTTAATATTGTGATTAATACCTTCTAACTTGATCAGGTAATAATCGGGGGCCCTTGCGTAAAAAAAGGCTGCCTTTGTAATGTTGATGGATTTATGAAATATTTCAGTACAATTTCTGCAGCTCTCCCTTTTCCTCAGTGTTGCAGGTTAACATATTCAAAGAAATAAAAATCATATGTTTGAATGGTAGCTTAAAAAAACAAAACCAAAACCCACTACTCTTTAAATTAAATTATTTTTAAATCACTTTTGCTGTTTGCTCAGCATAGTAAGACTCCAGGAGTGCCTTTCAAACAGAGTTACATCAGTGAATACCTGGCCACATTTTAATAAGATGGCTATTCCAGAAGTGAGTGCCCAGTGTGTTTAGAGCTGGATGCACTGAACATGGCGGTCGATGGAAAGACTCCCTGTTGTTTTCTCCGAGTAGCGGCCTGCAGCGAACAGAAGCAGCAGCAGTACTTTGTAGGACTGCACTAGGCCAGGAGAGGCATTATCTTACATTTCTCCAGAGATGCTCAAATTTCTTCAAGCACATGATTCACTTCCTTATTTCTGTCCTTGTTGAGCAAAGCTACTCAGCCTTTTTTATTCCTGTTTTTATGGTTGGTCAAATATATCAGAAATTCTGTCCATCTGTGTTAACAGTTCTCCCATAGATAATGACATATTTGTTGGACGTGAGCTTCCTTTACTGTGTCCTATGCCTAAGTTTAACAGTGATTTAAAAGTGACTGGATATACTTAAATGTGTGGAAGTGAATGAAAATGCATTTTTGAGGAGATATCAAACACCATGCTTCAGGCATATCTCTAAGCCGTTAATGATTAGAAAGGATTTAGGTGGAGGACAGATTACCCAGATCTGCCTACAGCAAGTTTCTTCTGCTTTTGTGTGAAACAACAGCTACAGATCACTGTCAGAGGGGATACTGGACCAGTCTCCAGCAGGCCAGTACAGCACTAGTGAACTGTACACCAGACACAGTAGCACAGGTACCTGGAACACATACATAGACCTTTTTTTTTTCTTTTAAATCAAAAGCTCACAGAGAGATGTGGTGCTTGGAGATACGGTTTAGGGGTGTACTTGGTAGAGTAGGGTTGAAGGTTGGATTTGATGACTTCGAAGGTCTTTTCCAACCTGAACGATTCTATGATTCTACGCTACGCATTTTCCATCTATAATTTCAAATATTCTGTAATTGTAAAGTGACCTACAAAGGGCTGTGCCCCTGAAGACATAGCTAGGTGCTCCAACAAGGCACATCTCTAGTCCTGTTAAATTTATGCCATTATATGAGGGTTTTACCCCTTAAATAGTACTATATACAATGTGTCAAACAACATCCACGCAATTTTGGCTACAGGGATTTGTCCCAGGACTTATGATCCTTCAAACACCCAGGCACACAATTTCAAAACCGGTCATGTGTTAGTAGAGACCTGGACATCCTGAACATGCCTTTTTTTTTTTGCAGATACAGTGAAAGGAGTGAACCCTGGCAGGGTCATCTACTGGAACAAGACTAAGCTATTATTTTCCACTTTGTCAGCTATGGCCAGGTTTCCAAAGGAGGTCACTCTTGGGGAGCATCCAGCGTATCCCAGATACCCAGTGTTATACAATCAGCCACCATTTTCAAGATACTTTAGCAACAGTCTTGACTGTCACATCTAGAATAGCCACAGTTAATCAGAAATTTTGCTGGCAAACTGAATCAGTTTGGAAGTAGGCTTCTAACAAGGATACACGCCAAACACTGAAATTTTATGTAACTTTCAAAACAGCAGCAACAACAAAAATATCCACACCGAGCAGTCAACATAGTATTGAATTATTTTAACAACAGATATGCAAAAAGTTTATTTTGTTCAGAAATCCACACTTGTCTTGGCACCCTGTTACTCCACTCTCTGCCTTATAGCTCGATTTTCAGCCGGACAACCAGTCAAGAGCACTGGGCACTTCTGGATCCTATTGGTTCTTGCAAGAGCTTGCAGGTGCTCAGCCTACCTGAGAAACACTGAGTGCTTGCCAGAGCACAGCCCCTGTGGGTGTTTGACAACACTTTTGCCTTCTACTTTGCTTGAACTCAAGCTTTTTTAATGAAGAGGGTTTGTCCAGTATCTTGGTAACTGTTACGTAAATTTGCTGGCATTTGCATTATATTTCATTAAGCAGCACCAGTTAGTTGAGTGATATGAAAAAAAACCTGTCACCAGTTCCAAAATGTCAGCTAGCTGCACAACTTGTCCGTGAAGTATTTTTGTTACCCAGTTCTGTAAGTGTCATGTATGAAACACTATAATCAGAAACTGTTTTCAGAATAAGAGGAATATACCAAGTGCAGTTCCAAATCCTTCTCCTCAAATTGCTGCTCTCGCACTTAACAGAGGTCACTTCAACAAGTCAAACCAAGAGCTGTCCTACTAACAAAGGGGCAGGCAGATAGATCTTCACCTTAGTGAAAATGAAAGGTCCTGATCCAGGGAAGCGCATAAGCCTCTATTCAGATGCTTTCTTGAATCTGGGCTTTTAAGAAAACGTATTTGCAAGGAGGCTCTTACATAAAAAGCATATCTGCTGTACTGATGTGTCTCTCATGAGCTCAGTTAGAAGTCAACCCGTAGGCCAAAAGTGACTCTGGACTTTTTTACTTTTTTTTTTAAAAAAAGGATTTCAATATATAAAAAAATAAATGGGATATAACAGGAGAAACTAGCTTTATAGATTTAATCCCCCTTTTTTAAGGGCTGCATTTCAGAACTTAAGACTTTTTTTCCTGATATGCCTATACCTTAGTTTGTACCAGGTAAGAGGAAAGGTGGGTATCTCTCACAGTGCTGCAACAGTCAGGCTACCTGTCCTGCCAGGAGATAAATTTGAGTCTACCTAAATTCATCTAACAGTTAAAGTGCAGGAAGCCACTCCATTACTTGATTGCATTCATTTATTGCTTAAGAAAAGTAGCTTGAGAATACAGTATCACCTCTGTCCCTAGAGGGCTTGTTGGTTTCAAGTCTTTCTTGGAAAGAAAACTTTTACAATTTCTGTTCTTCTGAAGTTACTTCAGTCATTTTGCCAGCACCTACACCAGCACTGGGACAGTGTTTTTGGTGGCTTTTTGTTTCGTTTTGTTTGGTTTGGTTTTTTTCTGTTGTGTTGTGGGGTTTTTTAATTTGGTTTGGTTTGGGTTGTTTTTTTTTTTGTGTGTGTGTGGGTTTTTTTTTTTTTTTGAAGACTGGCTAAACTGACTCTTAAAATTGTATCACATGGCTGAAGAAACTCCTGTGACAGAACTGGGACAGGGACCTCTATCTCTCTTCCCAAGTTACACTCTATAAGCTCCAGTTGCTGGAACTGGAACTTCAGATGTATTAAGTCTCTAGACACGTACAGAAGAACTTGATTAACAGCCAGGACTGAAGTCTAAAAGGGCTGGTGCCAGCTTTACCACAGCCTTACCAAAGCCAGCCTTGTTTTCCTCTTCACTGCTTTTTTCCCTTTCACACTCAGCTACTCCTGTGATTCTGTTTGTGCAGAAGCAATATCAATTGCATTAATTTTGGCTTACGCTCCTCCTCAGGTGCAGCAGCCAAGTTAGAAAGGGGAACTTTTGCCACTGTTGCTTTTAACCCACAGGAATAAGAGCTTTAAAACAAAACACCAGAAAACCAACCAACCAAACCCAAACACCAAAATCCCCAACAAAAAACACAAACCAACCCCCCCCTCCAGGTTTCTTGTACAGTAAAGTTACACTCCTTGCAAATCTACATCACTCTTTGCTACCGTGACAAACACTTTCCTTGACAGAATCACATTAAGACAAATTCATTGATTATGCTAACATTCACATTAACTCCCCCAGGAAATTTAGACTTTTTATAGCTTTTTCATTTTAAGGAGGTAAAGCATAATTGTTTCATTTGCAGTAAGTGATCAGAGCAAAATCCTATGTTAAGTAAAACTTTTCAAGCATTTTTCTGGACATTTTACTACAAAACTACTGAGCAAATAAGAAAAACCTTATTCTCCATGCCCATACCAATAGAATATTTTTTTACCTACCATCAGCAGACAGATGAGCGTGCCTTTCATATGCTTTGTTTATTTCTAGAAAAGCTTTGTTCAAAACATTTTCCAAGTTCTCCTCCTCAGCAAGAAATTCTCTGGAAACAGACAAGCAAACAAAAAATTAAACTTCTTTCCATAGAAGTCTTGATAGTCTTGATCAGTCTCTTTCATAGCCTTATCTCCTCCCTGCATACACTGAATAATGCTGGATTTCAGTGAAAAGGGAATAGGACTTACTAGTGACCTGCACTGGAAGCATAATCCTGTACCTTTGCAAATACATAAATTCCTCTTCCAACACCCAGGGGTGACAGAGATACAGAAGAGTATAAGCAAGCTGTAGGCCAGCAATCACAGTGACCCCATCTGAAAACAGCCAATTCACACTCTCTCTGTGTTCCCAGTCCTTCCTGGAAGGTGGGTACAATCCTACTTTCTTCTCATCTTGGTGGGCTTGCTCAATGGGCAGGCACCAGAGCAAGTGGTTCATAGCATGTTCACCATCATGGAGTGTTCCAGGCCAGCCTTCCTGCTGTCCTGTTGGGCTAGGCGGCTATATAACCCAGGAGGGCTAGTGACAATGTGCAACCCACCGATTCCCTTTCAGTCCTAAGGAAGGAATCTCCACTAACTCATTTGACACTGATTCACTTGATGCATACTTACTTAATATATTTTTCCATGTACTTATCACAGAAGTCTGCTGCGGCTGCCCCGCCATGTCCGTCGTATACCGCAAAGTACAGGACATCCTCCGTCAGCTGAGCATAATCAAACCGGTCTTCATTTTCCTTACGCTTCCCAATATGGCTAGCACAGCCCACATTGGCCAGGCTGACTTTTGGAATCGGCTTCCCATACTTTATGCTTGGTGGGAGGAGAATAGGTTCATCAATGCGATTGTCCCAGATGCCAAAGGTATCCCATGTGGTAGGTCGTCCGCTGCCGTCTGAATCGAAGCGCGAAGCACGGCGCTCGGAGGTGGAGCTGTAGCAAGCGGCTGTCGGACGCTTCTCGTCTTGCAAGAGGCGGGACGTCAGCACGGCTCTCCTTCGTACTTGATACCCTCCGTTTCGTACCAAATTAATTAAAGTAGCTGTTGACATAACTTGTCTTCACAGAGATTCGTAGGAATAAAAGATCAGGAATAAAAGATATGCAGCTGCTGGAATGTCTTCGAGAATAAAGAGAAAACTGATCAGGAAACAAGAAGGGGAATTTTCAGTTACATCATTCAGGAAACAATGTCACCTCGGAGCCCGCTAATCATGCCTAGCATAGCACTGCCTAGAAGAAACTACAGAGCGATCTGCATGACTCACCGAGAAACAATCCTACACAGACCAGCCCACACCTAATGGGAAGTACTGCAGAAAAATCAATGTAAGGCATTTCTGCTGGCCATCTGCATAATGATATCCTGAATTTTCAAAGGTTGAAGAGGTTGTGATGGAGCAAATGAGAGTGATAATGATTTTGTTCCATGTCAGCTACATTACAAGTATGTGAAAACAGGAGGTAAAGTCATGAAAATGAGCTTATCATGCATGCTCTTCAAACAATTGCTGAAATACTCGCACTGTGCTCCCAGAGGGAGAGGCAAGAGATATTTGCTTAGATTTTAGGGTTTTATCTGCACACGATATTCAGTTCTGTCACATTTATTGAGGATTTGAACAATACTTTTCAACACAGACCTGTGAAGCGAATTGTGATTTTCTTCAGCTAGCTAAGAACAACCACTGAGACTGTATCCATGAACGTACACAATTGCGCACACAAACCTCCCCGCCAAAAACCCCACGCAGCTCTTTGCTGTTTTGTCTGGCCTGAAGTTCTCTGCCACCTAACCCTGAAATGGGCCTCCCTTGGCTAACACAGGAAAGCAAGATCTTCTACCGGCTTCTCAGATCTCTTTTCCAGCCCAGATAAATGGCCCAGCACAGATAAAAATTCACTAATGATGACTCATCTAGCATGCTGAAAAATGGAGAAAGCCTGGCTTATTTAACCTTTTGTAGAGTAACACCCAATTTGATGAAAGTCCAACAGGCCAGGATGCAGTTTGTAGTAAGTCCATGTTGGTGCACCAGAGTAATTTGAACTGGACCATCAGATCACCATAACTAACCACACTAAAATTTAAGTGAGCAATTTCTAACTTAATCACTCAAAGTTTGCTGAAAGCGAAATTACAAGTGAAAGGTATTATATGCCATAATAAAGGAATTAAAAATATGGAGGCTCATGGTGAACGAAAAAAAAAGACAAGACAGCAGGGTGGTCAGACATAATCAAGCAGCAAAGAGCAACACGTGTACCCTAGAGACACTGTAATTCTGGGCAGAAGGAGTGCCTTGCCATTGTATTTTCCCCATGCCAATCACAACTGCATCTGTAGATTTGAAATATTTGTTAAAACTATATTTTTTAATTACCATACAAAATCCAGGTGCTTGCAAAAACACGCAGTCAAAGGTAACTTAAGTGGTTGCTTTAGAAAAGGGCTGTGACATGAGCTTCCTGGGGGCCTCCATTAAACCTGTCATTCACAGCTCAAAGCATTTCCTTTAGATTCTCCTGGTTTACTTCTCATGCAACTCTTAGATGAAGAGAGGTTTCTCTGCTTAGCACTTAGAGAGTAACTGTCAACTTGATAAAAGGCCAAACGTGCTGGAAATCCCCGTTGTTGCACCAGGCAAATGTGGGCTAGGCTACCAGGTGAGTGGAACTGACCACTTGGAATTTTAAGATTTTCCATTTTATTGTGGGGTGACAGCAACACCACATCCTTATTTCAGTATACTTACAGGTATTTTAAAACTGATTCACATTGAGTTGCTTTTTCTCTTCTGTTACCCTTGACTCATAACAAGAGTATGTTAACCTCCTTCTGTGAAACACAGCACAACCAAATGGAAAGCCTGCCAATTAACAAAACCCACACGTGGTTTCCCTTCGTTCAGCTTGAAAGAACATGAAATGTTAGCTGTATTGATTTCCCAGTATTGACAGCATAAATCAGAGGATTAATCCAAAATCCAAGGTAATTAATGCATTTGTTCCCTACCAAATTCAACTCTCAAAAGGCCTTTTTTTCCAGGTAAGTGTTATACTGACAACTGTTTCATTTTTCAAGCGTCTCTGCAAGTCAGGGGTAGAGGAACCTGATCTTTAGTTTCTGTGATGTCAGTAGTTGTGCTTTCAGTTGAACATACAACAGTCTGTGCTTTTGTAACTGCTGTTTGCAAACAAAGGGCAAGCACTATCTGGGCAAAACACGACAGAGGTATTGAAAAGGGGGGCACTGGTGTTAAAGCCAAAGTCCAAGATAGCCAGTTGTGGATGGAAATCTGTTTTGAGGTGCTCCATCTGCTCCTGTTAATCTGTACACAATTAACTTTAAAAAATAGCTCCTGAAGAAAGACACAGGAATACAATGTTTAAAGGAAATGAGCTGAGCAATTAAACTGTAGTTCAACATGCATGGTGTCCCTTTTAGAGGCTGGCTGCTTCTAGGCAGATGGGAATTTTCCAGACTGCGAGAAGGGGAAAAAAAAAAGAAACCCGGAAGGAAGAGAAGGCATGCCTGCTGCCCCAGGGGATTAAACGTATTTAAAAAGGAATTTAAAGTGCTGAACACGTATAAATGCACTTGCCTTGCATGCTTTCCAAACCCCACAGATGTGGGCAGTACTTACAGTATGTTTCTGTATGTTAAACTCCTCTTAAATCAGGAGTTTTTTTAAATCTGTGGCAATATAATCTCACACCCTGCCTGGATAATAAACTGCACAGACAGCAGCGATGTAGAGGTTTCTGCCGCTGCTTACAAATTACGGATTAGTACACAACGGACCGGCTGAGCTAGGACGGGTTTATTCCGCGTATACAAAAGCCGTGCAGTGACGTTAGGCAGCGCCGCTGGCGCCTCTGGGGAAAGGCGGGTGTAACCCGCATGCATCTCCGCTCCAACGCCAGCCCCTCCGCGGTGGCAGAGGTGTCTCTGCCGCGGTCTTCTCCTCCCAGCTGCGGCGAAGGGGTCGGCAGAGCCGTGCGGGCAGGTCCGAGGC